CTCCTCCTCAATCCCCATCGCTACATCACCGAGTGGTATCATTTTGGCGTGTGAGTCTTTCATCCCTGTCAGTCATATTGAATGGCAAAATGGTGGGCATAAATTTCTCGATCGAGGGGACACACGGAATGAGAAGTGCATGTGGGGTGGGGGTGGGGGTGGAGTGGGATGGATCGGAGTGGAGTGGAAGCGGAGGATGCTTTGCTTGGGTGAGGAAGTACAAGTTTGTCGTATGACAAATGGTGAACGAGTGATCATTTTTCTTTGACCGTCTGTTGTTCCCCATGAATCGTTGAGTACATCCATCAATCTATAGTCGTACAAATTCGTACAAATTGTATTCCCCAATTCGTTCGTTCGTTCGTTCGTTCAGTCAAACAAGCCTCTTTCCTCACTCCGTCGACCGAGGACAAGTAGAGGGCTCCAGATTTCATGATTGACTGACACGATACACTTTGTCGTGTGTGTCTTCAATCAACTAGCAGCTGTCAGTCATTGCTGGTGTTCTACCGTTTCTGCTCCACTCCCACACCCACCTCATGCCAACTCACTCCGGTCTCTCACGTTGTCTTGTTGACTAAATGTAAAGTCCAGATTAAACCTTTTTGAGCTTGTCTGTGCGTGCGTGTGTGCGCGCGCGCCTGAGTCTGCACTCACTTGTTCACATCCTTTTCTCCCAACTCCGTAGATCTGATGAAACGATATACACATTCTGCCGGTGTAATTTTGCTCACGCGACACCAGCACACACACACACACACACACGCATGCTCAAACTCAGACGTGTTTCAACCAATTCTGCCCCAACACTACCCCATACCACCACCGTCTTTCCACATCGAAAGGCTTGGACAGCAGAGGGATTGGACCGGATGGGAAGCTATGACAGAGAGAGAGGATCCGACCAGAAAAATTTGAAATGACCCTGTCTGTGTCTGCATACGGAAACCCAGAAAGGGAAAAGCCCAATTTAGTGTATCAATCGGAGTCGATGAGAGAACTACGAAATTATGATGCTGACCAACCCCC